GGCACCAGTCAACACAGGCCTGCCAGGGGCACCACAGACCTGCCAGGGGCACCAGAGGCCTGCCAGGAGCACCACCGACCTCGCAGGGGTAACTTGGGCCTGTCAGGGCCCAGGGGCACCACGGGCCTGTCGAGAGGCACTTCAGGCTTTTCAGGGGCACCATAGTCCTCTCAGGGCGCAGGGGTAGCAGGGGCACCAGAGGCCTGCCAGGGGCACTACAGGCCTAGCAAGGGCACCACTGGTCTATCAGGGGCACCACGAGCCTGTCATAGCCAGACATCTCAGGCTTGTCAAGGCCCAGGGGCACCACAGGTCTGTGAGGGGCACCAGCGACCTAGCAGGGGCACCAGTCAACACAGGTCTGCCAGGGGCGCCACAGACCTGCCAGGGGCACCACAGACCTGCCAGGGGCACCAGAGGCCTGCCAGGGGCACCACCGGCCTCGCAGGGGCACCTTGGGCCTGTCAGGGGCACGACGGGCCTGCCGAGGGCCACTTCAGACTTTTCAGGGGCACCAGTCCTCTCCGGGCGCAGGGCCACCAGAGGCCTGCCAGGGGCACCACAGGCCTAACAAGGGCACCACGGGCCTGTCAGGGGCACCTCAGGCTTGTCAGGGCCCAGGGACACCACAGTCCTTCCAAGGGCACCGCAAGCCTGTCAGGGGCACCAGAGGCCTGTCAGGGGCACCACAGGCCTAGCAAGGGCACCTCTGGCCTGTCAGGGGCACCTCAGGCTTGTCAGGGCCCAGGGGCACCACAGTCCTTCCAGGGGCATTACAAGCCTGTCAGGGGCACCAGAGGCCTAGCAAGGGCACCACAGGCCTGCCATGGACACCACAGGCCTGCCAGGGGCACCACCGGCCTTGCAGGGGCGCCTCAGGCCTGTCAGGGGCACCACGTGCCTGCCGGGGACACTTCAGGCTTGTCAGGGGCGTTACAGTCCTGTCAGGGCCCAGGGGCACCAGGCCCGTGGTGTCCCTGCTAGGCCTGTGGTGCCCCTGGCGGTCCTGTGGTGCCCCTGTCAGGACTGTGATACCCCTGATAGGCCGGTGGTGCCCCTGGAAGGTCTTTGGGCCCCCGGGCCTCAAGGGGGGGGCCATGACCCATGTGACCCCCCCTTGGATCCGCCCCTGCCCTTGAGCCTTAGCCGTGACCGCGACACGGCTATTTATTTTGCCCGTCTTACGCCGTAGAAACCGCCCGAGACATCGAACGAGAACGACCATGCAAGAGCAAAACATGCTGCGCGCGTCGCCCGCGATCACCATTGTTGAGCCGTCGATTTGTCAATTTTTATAGAGAACCTAAAGCAAAACCTATCCAATCCCGAATTTCGTAGCATCTTCATCGCCTAACGATCCTTTGAGCTACAAACCACCTATCAACATAGCCCTAGCGCCTACTTCAACTGGAGCCCGCTCCCAGTAACCCTACAATGACCTGGTTCCCCTGAACCGACCTCCATACATACTTATTTCCCTTGCACCTTATTTACCGCATCAGGCCAGTTTCCAGATCACCAGATCCAATACCAGATCCTTCTCCGACCAAACCTATTCAGAAAGCAGTATTCCCCCTGTAACCCAGCCGTTTTAACCTACCGTTCCGGAACAAACCAATCGCTAAAATTAAGCACCTCTAAATCACCAACGTTAAACCCCCTGCCACTGATGCTTTTAACCATTAATCCTACTCGCACGTTTAAAGTGAGCTTAGGCCCGAATGCCATCCGATCAATCATAATTGCATATTCAATCGTTCAACCCAGACAATAACCCGTCCCCGTTCCCCATCACCCGTAAGTGTAGACAACCGTGTCGGTGAACACAACGTACACGGGGGTACGACACGCATAGACTGGCCTCGCAGCCCCGAAATATTTCCTAATATAGTACCTCTTTTCGATACGACTAATTTCGACAAACCATGTAACTCTGACAAGCATTAACTCAACCCATTGTAAAAAAAAAACATTGTCCTACTTAAACAATTGGAAGTTGTAAGCGATGCCTGACCCTATTTCAACCATCCGTAATGTTTATGTCAATCCGGGTATAATTGTTAATGACTCGACGGTCCGGGTAATGATAGCCGCTCTCAGTGGACCACAGGTCACCTCTGACTGGGGGTTCGGCCCAGCCATTGTCATCCCGCACCCCGGCGCGGTGCGAGCAGCGAGGGTCACCCGCCGATCCCCTGATCATTAGCGCGGCCGAGCCCGTCCGGCCCGGGCGTCGCCGCGCCCGCGGGTTGGGGGCCCGTCCTCCCCACGCGTCCCGAGAGAGCACCTCCTCCGTGACGTCATATACGCAGCAGACCCAACGACACAATCTCGGATTACCAACTGACGACATGAAATGCGTGTTGGGGGCCATGAATGGGAGAGAGAGCGAGAGAGAGAGAGAGAGAGGGAGAGAGAGAGAGAGAGAGAGAGAGAGAGAGAGAGAGAGAGAGAGAGAGAGAGAGAAAGAGAGAGAGAAAGAGAGAGAGAGAGAGAAAGAGAGAGAGAGGGAGAAAGTGAGAGAGAGAGAGAGAGAGAGAGAGAGAGAGAGAGAGAGAGAGAGAGAGAGAGAGAGAGAGAGAGAGAGAGAGAGAGAGAGAGAGAGAGAGAGAAAGAAAGTGAGAGGGAGAGAGGGAGAAGGGAGAGAGAGAGGAGAGAGACATACAGACAGACAGACAGACAGACCGACAGACAGACAGACCGCCCTACTGACAGACCGACGTACCATCAAACCAACAGACCATCAGACCGTGAACGGCAAACTGACGGACTGACAGGCCGACAAGCCGACAGAGCGACTGGCCGACACTCAGAGACTGCATTAACGATCACTTGGAGAAGACTGATAGGAAAGGTGGAATGTCGATAGACCACATTCTTACACGCGTCGCATCCATGCTCCGTCTTCAGTCGGTGCTCTACCACCGCGTCGAGTGATTGTGTGCCGTCGTCGGACCTAGCGCCCATCCCAGTTTCCCTGTGAACCCGCGCTGGACGGCCAGTGGCACGCGTTAATTGCTCTAGCCGCCGCAGGACCGGCGGCCGGGACCGACCGGGTGCCCAAAGATGGCCGCTTCTCTCGACCGGCGCCGGCCCCCCACAGCGGGACGCCCCATCCTTCCACGCACATTCCCAGGGGATTAGCCGGGTCGGTCCGAGCCGGCGACAGGCAGTCGGCTGAAGGGCCCGGGCCGCACGCGGGCAGGATCATTCAAATCATTCATAAACGGTATTGATATCGTCGTTAATTGTCGGAGATAATGAGCGGCGTTCGTGCAAATTTAAAATTAAGCTTAGCAAAATCGTTCTGGCCACACTCGATCAGAATCGTGAAATCAAATGATGATTATGGGGTATATTGCCGGAAATACAAACCAGGTAACGTTAACTGCTAGGTAGAGCATGTTAATTTCACATGTAGGTCACATTTCGATTAAATGAAAGTGGAGCGGAAAAATGCCGGCCACTAAAGTATAATTCAAATCACAACTGATTCGTCAAGTTACTAAGCTCATCTCGGGCTTACATTAATTTACATCAAATTTGACTGGCTTTTGCTCGAGCTCGGGCACTCAACCCGCCGGAAATGACAATTTCGGAAATGGAAATTTGTTGGTCGTTAATGACTTATGGGTTTTGTTTCGCATATTTACCAACCCTGAAACCTAGAAGACACTCGTCGTTCAGCACTGAGTTACGCTACATACTGAATGAAGTTACGCATGGGTTTCTGGGGCTAAAACGCTCAAAACTTATCGTTACGCTAATTCGCAGATAGTGAGAAATAGACAATGTTTACCGGACATTGAATCGATCGAGTATATACTGCAACGTACGTCGATTTGCACTGCATCAAAATTAATTGAATCCGATCGTGCTAAATAATAAAATATCGTGATAAATACTAAATCGTGCTGAATAATTAAATAATAAATCCGGCCACATAATTACGAAAAAACCTGACAGTACCTACTACTGACGTAAATGCCTGTTAACTTTGACGGTCTCGAATCAGAGCTCTATCAAACAACAACCACGAGGACAACAACAACAACCCAGTATGATGTAGTGTGACCTCCCACCGGTGCCTGTGTTCCGAAAAAAAACATGCCGACGTGTGAACGGTGTCAGAAACGGTGTTCTGCTCGGCCCTCCCATTCTCTCCGAAGTCCGAATTCTCTCATTCTCTCCTCCAGCACTTCCATCTCGTCAAGTTAATCCATTCATGTTTCCCTCCCAAATAGCCCCAACAGATGTGAGTACTTTTCCAAGATATATTCAGCCAAAACGAGGGAAGAGAAGCTAGCAGTGAAACGACCGAGTTTTCAAAGATAAGCAAAACTAGACTTAAACTAGCCATAAACCATAGTGAACTGAGCCGATCCCCAAAACAGAGTGCCAGATTACCTATGTCAACTTTAAACTAAATAGCTACTACATAAAGTGCCGTCCTTTGAGCCTGCAACTGAATATTAGACAACCGGCTGGAGTAACCGAGACGAACGTAGCTGAGCATCACAAGCATTTTGAAAAAAGTTCTACCGCCTTTCGCGTAATGAAGGTCAAAATTCGTCCCAATGGTCCATCACTCTGGTGCGCCCGGGCGCTCACACGCACGCACACATTCAAGACCAGTCCTACCTCGCTTTAGACAAGATTGCAGATTTAAGTCTGTTAAGTGACAAAATGATACATATCCCAACCACCCCCTTTTGATACCCTACAGCAAGGAGCAATGCCGTTAACTCATTCAACAATTACACGCTCACGCATACGTACATAACATGTCCCAGCCACTCCCATTTTTGATCTCCAGATCAAGGCCCAAGGCCGCTCAATCATACAAGTTCACACGCTCACGCATACGTACAAACACCCCCCCCCCAAACGGGCCTACATAAAATTACATCCCCGAGGCGAGAGAAAAGCCGGGGCAGCAGGCGGGGCACATTGGGGAAGGATTTAGATAGGAAAGCAGCTCTTTCACCTCCAGTGCTGACCTTACTTGTTTACTGGCAACGGCGATATGCGGGCGGCGGTAGGCGGCGGGCGGGCGGCAGAGCGGCGAAGGGACGGCGAGCGGGCGGCAGAGCGGCGCAGGGTCCTCCAGCGTAGTCCTCCCATCTCCTCCGGGACTGCAGCCGCCACCTCCTCCTCCCGAGCTCTCCTCTCCACTCCAGCTCAATGTCCTCGAACTATCTCCTCCATCCTGTCTGCTCCGACCGCGTCCACCTGTCTCCACTCCAACCGAGCTGAACTGCCCCCAGAACCGAACTCCACTGCTGCCCAGCGTCCTCCTTCCAGAACTGAACTCCCCGTCCTCCAAAATCCTAAAAGTTTTGCTGGAGCTCCATCTGCCTCGGGCTGTCTCTGGATTTGCCGTCTTCGCTCCGCCTGTTTCTTCCTAGTTCTGCTGCTCTCTGAATTTCCAGTAAGGGCCAATTTTCCATGTCTTCTCTCTGCCTAACCAGTCTTCTGTATTTTCTGCTGAGTCTGGTTGCCGAAAGGGTGAGATTTCTATTAAATTTAACGTTAATGTTGGGCCGAAACGTATGCGTTTTTCCGCTGTGCAGCCTCCGGCGTGCCGTTTCCATGGTGACTGCTATCCTCTCTGGGTGCTCCTCCTCCGTTCAAATATTCTGGCGCCGATAGGTGAATTTGAATCTTCTGCCCCTGGCGATGCCGGCAGATTTGCCACGCCGGCCAGGTTTGCCAGCGTGGGAAGATGGGCCCGGGAATGCGGATGTGCCGTGCCATGCTGGAATTTGGATATTGTTACTCCGTCGGCTGTCCCAGTTTCACGATGCTGATTGTCGGCGCCAGTCTCGGCACATCCTGGAAATGTGCTATTTCGAGCCGTGTTTTGAAGAAATTGCCTTTGAAGTGTGATACCGGTGGTCAATTTGGTCCCGGGCGCCCCGGCCTCCCGCTGCCGCAGCGGCGCTGTCGTGTCCTGTTTCCCAGGCTGACGGTGTCCGTTCGCCGCGCGTAGGAGGCTGCGTGCCTTTGTCCATCCGTCCCCCCGGCCCCCCTTGACCGGGGTTGGGACCCATTGCTGGACCCTTCCCACGGTCGGCGGCGGTGAGACGGCTCTGTAAGGGCCGCCGGATAATAGCATTTGGCGGCGCGGTCTCGGATCCGTGTTTGTCCTGCCGTCCGGTGTCGGCCAGATGGTCGGCGGGTCAGCGGTTTCTGGTCGCCGGCGCGCTGCTGTTATGATGGATGAATTTGGGAACGGGTTGGTTTGGGGAGGGAAAATGAAACGCGCCAGCGTTACATTTTCATAACCATCTTCTTTGAGTCGCGCCCCCGCGACTCGGGGTTGGAGCCGGCTGCAAAGACCTTGGGGGAGATGATGAAACCTGAGAGACGTATGGTTAGATGAGGTGGGTGGTGAATTAGCGTCAACAGAAGGATGTGGCAGGATGAGGACTTACCCCTGCCCGCTGGTCTCCTCACTCACCTCGGGGTGCACTGCGCCAGTTCGATCATTCCCTAGCATACACACAGTACATACACAGCAAGCAGACAAGACACGCATTTCCACAACATTCATCGAGGTCCATAGCGCTATCGTCGCCCCTCCACTCGCTCAAAATTGACCCGGAATCCGCGCATCCGATGTTTCGCTTGCATGGATAGGAGAACGAATCACAAGTACCTATTCCTAATAATTTGTTGTGTTTGTGCAAATACTGCAACACTGCCTACACATCACTTGATGTCTGTGTGTCCCTTCCAGTCCTTAGGGGGACAGGCCTGGGTAGTACACCCGCGGTGACCACGTAGACACTGCTGAGTCAGGTATCGTAATTGAGTTCGGCAGCTGCCCCAGCTCCCGCTCCGTCTGGTGGGCAGCCGCTGCCCACTGTAGCCAGGAGAACCGGCTGCGAAGCGGACCCTGGGGCAGGCGAGACTAGCCCCTGGAACCGTCCTCGCCAGCTCCGCCTTCCTCCGTCCGCCTACTGTAGTCGGATGACAAGGCGCGGCACCGCCCAAGCGGTGGGCGGCGCACCCCGGCTGTCACCTTCGCCAGCTCCGCCCTGGTGGTATATCCCCAGACCTGCAATGAAATAAACGGGGAGGGCGGCGCCGGAGAGAAGTCCGGTGATGATGGTGTAGCCGGTGGATGTTGTACCACGGCGCCACCCGCTCCGTGCTGGCCTGGCCTCCGCCCGGGCTGGAACCGGCTGACAAACCACCTTCTCCGTCTTCCTATCAGCATTGGCTCCCGCCAGTCCGCTCCAGTTGTCTCAGTTCCTCACACTCCCTCTCCGTCAGGTCCGGTTTCGTGTCTTCTCCTTTCTCCTTCCTCTCGATAGCTGCTGCGGGATGACGTCAGCCCGACGGACCCCTGCTGACAGAGCCGGAACATTTTAGCTTCGACTCCGTGGCCAACGTTTACGGGCCACTGAATAGACCAGCCACCCGTGTTCGAAAGCCAGAGGTTTTCCGCTGTCTCCCGTCCATCTCCGCCGCCCTGCTTCTGTTGCCGCCGTTGCCTCCGGTGATTAAGTTCTGCCTTTCAACATCTTCCTCGATGTAATACTTAATCCTACAACATCTTCATATCTCCTCAGCCAGATAGTTTTTCAATACTAATATTACCAAACATAAAACCGCCCATCTTTACGATACAGCTGCTAAACGCCTCCTTTGGTGATACAGTTCAGCTTTCCACCTCCTCCTGGGTTAAACGTTCAGACCTACAACATCTTCCAAGGTATATCTGCTCAATAGTACGACATGTTCATATCATCAGTCGCCCTTAGGCAGCCAATGATACTATTAAACGTGTGCCCCGACAACATAAAAATCTATCTTCCTTTATAATTTTACCGCAAAACACCCGCCTTTGAGATTGAGGTCCACTTTCAACATCTTCGAGATAACCATGCTCATTCCTTCAACATCTTCATCCGCCGTTCAAACTGTCACTCATGGTTCCCGTTGCAGCCCCAAATTGCAGAAGATTGTGTTACTTATAAAAATTACCTTTTACGGTCAATCCAGTCGAACTTTTGACCTGCAACTTTTTCGGTTCGGCTATGCGTGTCAGCCCACCGACTTCGTGCCTCCAGGACATGGCCATACCCCCACGTTGGGCGCCACATTTCTTGTAGCGGGGCTCAGCTGCAAGATAATTATTTGTTTATTTGATTTGCGCGGCTGGTCAGTCACTGGGGCATATAGGCTGCTACACTGTACGGTGATGGGTCATTGGGTTATGGGCATTCAAAGAGGATAAGTTAATCAGGTGGCTGCCCGAGGCTCTCTCTCAACCCGGTTGGGACCCCCCTTTAAATACGTTTACTTGAAACAGAAGAAACGACACTTCACATCACAGTCACATCCTGGCCACTGCACGGAGGGGTACCTCCCACTGGATATACCACATTCACACTTCAACTCACTCTAACCTAGCCTAACCTAACCTACCTAACCTAAAAACATAACCTAACGTAGCATAATCATGCACTCAAACACACATCTCACACACAAGAAAAACGCCAGACTATTAGTCCGCTCCCTCCCTCTTTACCTAACTCTCCCCCAGTGGTGCACAGTGACAAGTTAATGCAAGCTTGTTAGATGTCATTTCCCTGCCCATGTAAAACGTAGCTGGTGTATTAGGCTGCGGATCACCCTGCCGCCAAGATAGAACACATGAGTAGCCTGCTCCCCAAAAAAAAAAATGGTCATAACCTCCCCTTCCCAAATAATTCCTAAGTACCAGCACTGATCCTAATCTATCCTTACAATTTCAACAACGTCTCGTTCAGTGGCGACATAAGTTTGACGATCGCAGGCATGATCTGACTTGTCTAATCTACCCCGTCTCCGACTCAAGCTAGTAAAAACGACAGCGGAGGCCTAAAACCTAACATCAAGGGAGAATCTAATGCCAGGCCGGATTTTCCCTGCTTTATAGAGTCCAACTCTCTTCCCCTCTCCCTTGAGCCTTAGCCGTGACCGCGACACGGCTATTTATTTTGCCCGTCTTACGCCGTAGAAACCGCCCGAGACATCGAACGAGAACGACCATGCAAGAGCAAAACATGCTGCGCGCGTCGCCCGCGATCACCATTGTTGAGCCGTCGATTTGTCAATTTTTATAGAGAACCTAAAGCAAAACCTATCCAATCCCGAATTTCGTAGCATCTTCATCGCCTAACGATCCTTTGAGCTACAAACCACCTATCAACATAGCCCTAGCGCCTACTTCAACTGGAGCCCGCTCCCAGTAACCCTACAATGACCTGGTTCCCCTGAACCGACCTCCATACATACTTATTTCCCTTGCACCTTATTTACCGCATCAGGCCAGTTTCCAGATCACCAGATCCAATACCAGATCCTTCTCCGACCAAACCTATTCAGAAAGCAGTATTCCCCCTGTAACCCAGCCGTTTTAACCTACCGTTCCGGAACAAACCAATCGCTAAAATTAAGCACCTCTAAATCACCAACGTTAAACCCCCTGCCACTGATGCTTTTAACCATTAATCCTACTCGCACGTTTAAAGTGAGCTTAGGCCCGAATGCCATCCGATCAATCATAATTGCATATTCAATCGTTCAACCCAGACAATAACCCGTCCCCGTTCCCCATCACCCGTAAGTGTAGACAACCGTGTCGGTGAACACAACGTACACGGGGGTACGACACGCATAGACTGGCCTCGCAGCCCCGAAATATTTCCTAATATAGTACCTCTTTTCGATACGACTAATTTCGACAAACCATGTAACTCTGACAAAGCATTAACTCAACCCATTGTAAAAAAACATTGTCCTACTTAAACAATTGGAAGTTGTAAGCGATGCCTGACCCTATTTCAACCATCCGTAATGTTTATGTCAATCCGGGTATAATTGTTAATGACTCGACGGTCCGGGTAATGATAGCCGCTCTCAGTGGACCACAGGTCACCTCTGACTGGGGGTTCGGCCCAGCCATTGTCATCCCGCACCCCGGCGCGGTGCGAGCAGCGAGGGTCACCCGCCGATCCCCTGATCATTAGCGCGGCCGAGCCCGTCCGGCCCGGGCGTCGCCGCGCCCGCGGGTTGGGGGCCCGTCCTCCCCACGCGTCCCGAGAGAGCACCTCCTCCGTGACGTCATATACGCAGCAGACCCAACGACACAATCTCGGATTACCAACTGACGACATGAAATGCGTGTTGGGGGCCATGAATGGGAGAGAGAGCGAGAGAGAGAGAGAGAGAGGGAGAGAGAGAGAGAGAGAGAGAGAGAGAGAGAGAGAGAGAGAGAGAGAGAGAGAGAGAAAGAGAGAGAGAGAGAAAGAGAGAGAGAGGGAGAAAGTGAGAGAGAGAGAGAGAGAGAGAGAGAGAGAGAGAGAAAGAAAGTGAGAGGGAGAGAGGGAGAAGGGAGAGAGAGAGGAGAGAGACATACAGACAGACAGACAGACAGACCGACAGACAGACAGACCGCCCTACTGACAGACCGACGTACCATCAAACCAACAGACCATCAGACCGTGAACGGCAAACTGACGGACTGACAGGCCGACAAGCCGACAGAGCGACTGGCCGACACTCAGAGACTGCATTAACGATCACTTGGAGAAGACTGATAGGAAAGGTGGAATGTCGATAGACCACATTCTTACACGCGTCGCATCCATGCTCCGTCTTCAGTCGGTGCTCTACCACCGCGTCGAGTGATTGTGTGCCGTCGTCGGACCTAGCGCCCATCCCAGTTTCCCTGTGAACCCGCGCTGGACGGCCAGTGGCACGCGTTAATTGCTCTAGCCGCCGCAGGACCGGCGGCCGGGACCGACCGGGTGCCCAAAGATGGCCGCTTCTCTCGACCGGCGCCGGCCCCCCACAGCGGGACGCCCCATCCTTCCACGCACATTCCCAGGGGATTAGCCGGGTCGGTCCGAGCCGGCGACAGGCAGTCGGCTGAAGGGCCCGGGCCGCACGCGGGCAGGATCATTCAAATCATTCATAAACGGTATTGATATCGTCGTTAATTGTCGGAGATAATGAGCGGCGTTCGTGCAAATTTAAAATTAAGCTTAGCAAAATCGTTCTGGCCACACTCGATCAGAATCGTGAAATCAAATGATGATTATGGGGTATATTGCCGGAAATACAAACCAGGTAACGTTAACTGCTAGGTAGAGCATGTTAATTTCACATGTAGGTCACATTTCGATTAAATGAAAGTGGAGCGGAAAAATGCCGGCCACTAAAGTATAATTCAAATCACAACTGATTCGTCAAGTTACTAAGCTCATCTCGGGCTTACATTAATTTACATCAAATTTGACTGGCTTTTGCTCGAGCTCGGGCACTCAACCCGCCGGAAATGACAATTTCGGAAATGGAAATTTGTTGGTCGTTAATGACTTATGGGTTTTGTTTCGCATATTTACCAACCCTGAAACCTAGAAGACACTCGTCGTTCAGCACTGAGTTACGCTACATACTGAATGAAGTTACGCATGGGTTTCTGGGGCTAAAACGCTCAAAACTTATCGTTACGCTAATTCGCAGATAGTGAGAAATAGACAATGTTTACCGGACATTGAATCGATCGAGTATATACTGCAACGTACGTCGATTTGCACTGCATCAAAATTAATTGAATCCGATCGTGCTAAATAATAAAATATCGTGATAAATACTAAATCGTGCTGAATAATTAAATAATAAATCCGGCCACATAATTACGAAAAAACCTGACAGTACCTACT